GCCCGTCTGGAGTCGCTGTCGTCCACACATGGCAGGGTCAGGGTCGTACCGGCCTACGACGTCATCCATGGTCTCAAGCACCATGGACTGGCCCTGTCCCGATCCGATGCCATCAAGAACTTTATGGCAAAGTCCCTCCGCCAGGCAGCCAAGGCCAAGACCGCCCCTGTCCGCCGCTGCATCCAGATGCGCATCCCCGAGGAGTACCGCGACGAGTACGACTCGCTCCTCAAGAAGGCCCTATCCGGCAAGGAGGTCAAGCGGGCGGACATCACCGCCGTCCCCAAGGTCCCTGGTTCTGCCGCTGCCGCTGCCTCGTCGTCTGCCTCTGCCGCTGCCGCTACCGCTGCCCCTGCCGTTGTCGTTGCTGTCGCTGCTGCTGCTGCCCCCGCCGCTGGTGCCTCGTCAAAGCCCAGCAAGCCTCACCCCGCCTACAGAGTCCCGCTGTCCGTCATGGACACTGACTCTGAAGGAGAGGGCCCCCGGGCCAGCAGCAGCGCTGCACGACTCCAATGAATCCACACCCCTCGCAGGGAGGCGGCAGGGCCCAGACATCCCTGACCGTCGCTTCCTTCAATGTCTGTGGCATCAACGTCAACGACGTTGAACTCAAGAACCTCATCGACACCAACGACATCGACTTTGTCGGTGTCCAAGAAACCCTCGCCGACCTCGAACCCCGCAGCCCTCTCTGTGGCTATGCCGTCAAGGTCCCTGGTCCCCGTTGCCGCGCCGGTAGAGGCATCGCCATCCTCTACAACCCGGCCAGGATCGACCCGCACGACTTCACCAACATTGAAGTCAGCGACAAGGGCGACGCCATGTGGGTGACATACAAACACGTCATCCACATCGGCAACTTCTACCTGTCCCCGAGCCTCAAGCTGGACGACTACCGCGAGGCCCTCCAGTCGATCCACACCAAGGCCGCCCTCCCCGACGCCCAGGTCATTGTGGTGGGTGACTTCAATGCCCACCTCAGTGCCCTGAGCGGACTGCCCACGCCGCTCCGTGGCAGGGAGAAGATCCTCGAGGACACTGTCTCCCGCGCCGGTCTCCGCGTTGTGCCTCCAGCTGTGATCCCGACCCACACCCGGCAGCGGGGTCCCAGCTGGACAACGATCGACTACATCTTTGTGTCGCATCGCCAGGCCAACAACGACCCGCTGCTGCAGGTCGACACTGCCGGTGCCTTCCGTGGCCAGTCCGACCACTTCCCCATCTGGGCGACTCTGCGGGTACAGCCAAAGTACTACCCAAAGGTCGACCAATGGCAGTGGAAGATCGCCCAGCTCGAGGATCCTGCCGTCCGCGCCCAGTACCTCTTGGCGCTGCTGGACGAGCGCGAACGCGGTCTGCAGCGCATCCAGGCTGCACTCCGGCCAATCTCAAGGGGATCGGTCATTCCGATCTCGGAGAGTGCGGCCCAGGACTGCATCGACCGCGCCTGGTCCATCATGATCGCCCTGATCACCACCGCTGCCGACTCCACCATCGGCAAGGCTTCCATCAAGACCGTCTGGAAGGACCCGGCCCTGATCCCCGAGATGCGGCAGCTTCGCGAGAGGCGCCGCGATCTCATCTACCAGCTCAAGTTGCCCGGGCTCTCCCTCCGCGTCGCCGAGGACAAGCGCGCCGAACTCCGCGCTGTCCGCAAACAAGAAAAGAACCTCATCGTCCAGTCCCGCCGAGCAGCCGAGACCCTGGCCATGAACAAGCTGCACTCCCTCAACGCTTCCGAGGTCGCCAAGTCCCTGGCCGCCATGAAGAAGCGCAAGGAGCTCGACGACGCCTTCCACTTTGACAACTCGGACGAGGCCCTCGAGCGACTTGTGGTCCACTACGGCAAGGTCTCCTCGCACTCCCAGGACACCCCCGGTGCCGCCTTTGACCGGACCGTCGGCCCAAGACCCCTGGACACTGTTCCGCGCCTGCTCCCCGAGGACCGCTCCATTCCCCGATTGTCGTCGGACGAGGTGGCCGATGCCATCGTCAAGTCCCCCAAGCGCAAGTCTTCCGGCCCGGACAAGATCAAGGCCGAGATGCTGCACCCTGTCGCTCCCGTGGTCGCTCCCTGGCTCCGGGCCATCCTGCTGGCCGCCCTCAAGGCCTCCGTCGTCCCGACCGAGTGGAACACTGTCCTGATCCATCCGGTCTACAAGAACAAGGGTTCGATCCTCGATCCGGCCATGTACCGGCCCATCGGGTTGACCCAGGTCCTCCGCAAGATCGCCGAGCGAGTCCTGCTGCCGTTCCTCACCCGCGAGATCGGCATCATGGACATTGCCCAGGGAGGCTTCCGCCCGGACCGAGGCACCCTCGACCAGGTGTACTCGCTCGACGCTCTTGTCCGCATGAACAAGATCCGCGACGACGAGTACAGCCTGGTCTTCCTCGACATCAAGGCCGCCTACGACACTGTCTGGCGGGAGCGCCTCTGGGACAAGATCGCCACCCGAGGTGCTGGTCCGGTCGCCGTCGGGGTCCTCAGGGCCATGTTCGACCGCACTCTTGTCCGCGTCGCCAGCAAGGGCCGCACGTCGCAGCCTGTGTGGCTGCAGAAGGGTCTCATCCAAGGCTCGGTCCTGAGTCCCCTTCTGTTCAGTGCCCACATTGACGACCTGCCTGGACTGCTCCGAGCCGAGGACGGACTTGTGCTTGCCTCGAGTCGCCACCACCGTCTCCGGGTCAACTCGCTCTGGTTTGCCGATGACGGTGTCCTCATCTGTCCGGCTGGCCGCACCCAGGCCATGCTGGATATCTGCGAACGCCACAGCATCGACAACCGGTACCGCTTCTCGCCTCCCAAGTGCGAGGTGCTGTACTCGGCCTGCAACGTCGACCAGCTCCATCCCGCCAAGCTGTACGGCACCGAGCTGCCCAAGGTCCTCCAGTTCCGCTACCTCGGTGTCATGGTCGACATTGACGGATTCCGCCCGGACCTCCAGTTCGACAAGCTCCTCCGCAAGGTCCACATGGTCACCGACACCGTGGTTGGACTCGGCATCACCCTCGGCAAGGTCTCGGCCAAGACCATCACCCAGGTCTACAAGACCTTTGTGCGGCCGACCCTCGAATACGGGATGGCCATGGACATCCCCGACCCAGCTCTGCGCGACCGCCTCGACGACGCCCAGATGACGGCCCTCCGCACCATGTTCCGCGTCGGCCCCGGCACTCCCGTCGGTGCCATGCACCTCAACTGCGGCCTTCCCAAGATGTCGGTCCGTGTCAAGATGCTGGCCCTGCAGAACTGGGCCCGCTGGGACGACCAAGTCTCTGACGGCGACAAGATGCTGTCGATGATCCTGCGCAACAAGATCATTGCGCCCTACCACCCCGACCAGTTCCTCGGCCAAGGAGTCCGAGCCGATCCGCACTGGGCCATGGTGGTCCGCCGACAAGAGGCCGACCACTCCCTCACGGCCACGGAGATCTACCGAGGCAAGACCCGACACCAGCCGCCGCCGCCCGGACCGCCCCGACCCCAGCCCGTCCCGATCAAGACCCTCATCTTCGAGGACCACATGAAGAACGGCTTCGACCGCTCCAAGCAGCTCACCGCCGCCTGCACCCCGTCGACCAAGATGTCGGGACTCTGGGAGGCTCGCGGGTACCAAGGATCCATGATCATGCTCATGTTCATGGTCCGATGGCGACTCGGTGCTCTCCCAGGCCACTTCAGATTTGGCTACCGCAAGTGCAAGAACCTGGCTCGACACGGATCCGGGATCGACTTGACCAGGACCCACGCACAGCAGTGTGTGGATCCGCATCAAGTCCTGGTCCGCAAGGTCGCAGCCCTCAAGACGGCCCACCCGACTTGGGTGGAAAGTGGTATAGCCGGAGTGGGACCAGTGGACAAGCTGCTGGACCTGCTCAGTTTCGATCGCACTCCCCCTCGCAGTCGCACCCCTCCCGCACTTGGATCACTTGCTGCTCATGTACCCGCTCCCCGCACTGCCTTCCGAGCATTCGCACTTGGTGCACACCCAGCACCACCACCCACTCCCACACCCAGTGTAGTCCCACCCTTGCAGTCTCTCCCTGCACCCTCATCACAGCGTAGTATAGTGTCAGCACTTGTCATTCCTCCACCCCGACCCCCCCTCGATCCTGCTGTTCCCTTGTGGGAACTGCTCGAAAATGTGTTCACCCGCTTGGTCTCAGACCTTGTGGGCAGCTGAGGCAGCACTAGGCTGCAACAGGAGTAAATAGGCTTGCCTGTGTACTCAACGTGCCGGGGTACCAACCTGTTGGACCTGATGGCTTGTCTTCTTGAATAAAGTTGACTATAGTAACAAAAAAAAAAAAACCGAAGGTGTCGGGCCTATTGATAAATTGTTGGATATGCTGGGAGAGGTTGGCAAGCTGGAATACGAAGAACCCATCGTGGGACAGGCCTTCAACGGTCTGTGGACTGATCTGGAACAGATCTTCCATACCCTGATGTGGAGACTCGCTGGATGGCAAGCCAGGCCCGGCGACATTCCTGAGTGGGACATTTAAACACTCGATGTACTCCATGAAGAGCGAGATGCCGGGGACCACGGGGTCCTGATGGCTAGTGCGCCGCCACGGCGGCGCACAATAAAGAAAGAAAAAAAAAAATAACGATTGATTCCTCCTGTCAGGATCAACGGTATAAGCCGATGGCAGGCGAGCCAAAGGGGATCAAAGTTGTTCTGAAAGCGCGAAATCTATGGCCTACTACTGGTAAACTTTCAATAAAGCGCACGCTATCGACTGATCGTCAATCTGACTCGCAGAGGTGGCAACAGGTGCCTTGTTGCGCCCCACATCTCCTGGCCGCTCAGCCTGACTTCAAGGCACACGAGCCTCTCATCGCCGGTATTGAATCGCCCGCTGTTTGAGGCGGCCCGGTACTGAGATGAGCTCGCAGCTGATATGCATGGCTCCACACGATGTGGTCTTTCTAGGTCGGTTATCGGCGTGGTGGAACCCCATTTCTCGGTCCCTTGGAGTTCACCTCAGATCCTGAGCATGGCAATAAACTGGATACCGGTCGAATGTAGCTCGCTCCAAATGTTCTGACCCACGACTACTATTCAAACAATGACCACTTGACTGTACACGACTCATCATCTCTGGAATGCGATATATTGGGCGTGCAGGCTCTGTCATTGCGGCAATGTTCTCAATGCCGTTTCGGTGGCTGTTGAGTGCGCTTGGATGCCCCAATGACGACAGCATGCACCGATCGTCCCCAGCTGTGTGTTGGGATGGGCTTGAACTCCCTGCTTCCCGAGTCATACTTGTAAAACTCCAAAACATCATCCTGTCGCAGCACATCGGGGGCGCTGCTGTGAGCATGGGCAACCGGCGGTGCATAGACTCTCAGGATTTGCTCGAGATGCGGGTCATACGAATATAGACCACGGAACCCATGGTTCTTGCGGTCTCGGAGCAGAACCACAAAGTGCTGGGCAGATGACTCGGAGAGATCCTGCAGGCATGGAAACAATGCCCTTATGTCAGTTTCTACATCGATCGTGCTCCACCCCTGCATTTTCGCAAATATTATTGATCTCGTACCTCCAGCGCTTCGCGCTTGATCTCTTCATTCACGGTTCCGGCGAGACAGACATGCATCAGCGCGTTTCGAACAATCTGGCGGTTGGATTGTGATGACGGCGTCACCCGCACTTGTCGTCGCTTTGAGACTTCGTGAGCCGAGCCCGGTTTTCCTCTCGCCGGTTTGACTTCGTCGCTGCGAACATTTGCAGTCCCTGTTTGTCGAAACTTGTTAATACACCGTCACTTGGAGTGAGATCGGCAGTATTGTATCGCCGGCCTCAGTTGTTCACGGACAAAATTTGCAGGGCATTCGCATACCCTCGGTCCGCGTTCGTTCCTCGGCCTTGCGTGCTCGCTCTTCCTCTCGCTTCCTGGCTTTCTCCTCGAGCTTTCTCTGCTGCTCAGCAAGCCTCAGTCTGTTGCAAGGGTCATCAATCGTGTCTAGTACCCATTATGCGGCGGTGTCCTTGAATCGTCATCAGTGATTCTGCCGACCAATCCTGGGCTCACTCAATGCAGCATTATATCAATCAGCCGATGGATATCCCTGACGATGCCTACCTTCGCAGCTCCTCCTTCTTTTTCTCGGCCTCAGCAAGTCGGTACTGCTGCTGCTCTTTGAGATCCAATGCAGCCTTTACTCTGCGCGAGAGTTTGGTCTTGATAGGACAAGATCGGCATTAGCGGCTCGTTGAATTAACACTGCTGTCGCTCCCGGATGCTCCACCGCATCCATGCGACGTACCTCCTTGGACTTGTTCGGAGACAGTCCTTGCTGGCTTGTTTCCGGATGATCTGCGTCGATATCCGTGCGCTCCGCCTGATTTGCTTGAGCTTTGCTTGGTGATCTTGAACGCTCGATCCTTTCGGCTTCCTCCATACTGTAGGTCCGCACGTCGCTGAGTCCTTGGTCATCCGATCCAATGCTCTCAGCTCTTCGGGGCCCATGGTGTCTTTCCAGGTGTGGCTCTGCTGCCTTTGCGATATGGGGCTCGCTTGACATGGTGCGCTTTGTGCCATGATTTGGTGTGTTTTCAAGCTCTTCTTTGGCTATAATATCATCCACTCCAATATGGCCACCAAGATCATCAAAGGTCAGTGCACGCCCGTCTTTGTGTCCATGATGGTTGATCTCATCGATCGTTGATATGCCGCTTGATATGTCAATGTTCTCTACCGCATCCTGCGAACCGCCATGATGGCTCGATTTGACTCTGCGGCCTGGTGGGGTGTCATTGTTTGACTCTGTCTCAGAGTCCTCGCTTTCAAGTACTTCCTCGACTATACCGTCACTCTCCAGCCCCTGCACCTGCTCCTCGATATCGTCTTGACTCAGGGGCACGAACACAGAGGCTGACATGAGCTCTCGGTCATGGACACATGTCGATAGGCTTATTGACTCTTGGCTCTGGGACCGATTGTGGTCAACATCATCTGCCGTGCAAAACTCGTTCCGGTCTCCATCGTCTGACGAGTCGTCTTGAAGCTCGTATTCATGCCGTTGGATGAGATCAATCATGCTCGCACCCTCGGTCCACGGACGGATCGCGTACGAATCCTCCAGCGACAAGCCCAGCCCGGCAGTGATGTTTGTTGGGGCCGAGGCCGAATATTCGATTGCGGCTATAACGGCGCGATCAACTGTGCCTGTTTCCCACTTGTCCGCCTTTTTCTTGTCCTTGCTGCGTGAGGTAGCCGCTGGCAGAGACTGCTCCGTGCGGCCGACAGTGACGTGTCCTCCACTTGCATTCGAGGTACTTCTGAGCTCATGGTGCTGCTGGCTGAGTTTGCTCTTTGATCCGTCGGCCGCCATCGCGTGAGATGAGTTCCTGGGTCGTCGATATATTTTTCTGCCTGGATCACTTGGCTCAGATGCTGGAGCGGCAGCGTGGTTTCGCTGTTCGATATGCGCCACCAACGGTACTGGGCTTGATCGAAGCGGTGGAAGCCTGATCGAGAGAGTGTCGGCAGGTTTCTTGGGTGCGACAGGCCTCTTGATAGATATGGGTGCAGCATTTACCTGCAGGACCGATGGCAAACTGAGCGAGACACCTGGTCCATCACGGACTGCGATTGTTGAGGGTACCATCCTGTGCGAGGTATCGGTTCTCTGTCGGAGCTTAGGGGTTGATGCCGAGGCTCCATACATCGGCAGCTCAGACTCTCCTGGAGTGATGCACAGATGATGTTGCTCCTTGCTCGGCATCTCATCCACGTCGGCCCTACCGCATGCCGATACTTCCTCGTAGCTTTCTGTATCGATGTCAGGAGTCACTGCAGGTAGAATCCTTGCTTTTGGCTGCAGCTTGTTGGGCTTCTGTGTCGTTTGGGAATGCGCTGCTCTTCGCCCTCCGCTCCGTCCACGACCCCTTTCGCGAGTCTGAGACGCTATCGATTCTACCGAGGTCTCAGGCTCTGTTGGGTGTTGTGTTGAGCACTGTGCAAGTATCTCATCTGGGGCATCATTTTCAAGTTGCAGACATTTGGCACCAGAATCGACCGAATCGCTTTGAACTTGCTCCGGAAGGGCCCGAGAAGAACCAACCCAAGACTCTGCTGGTGCAATATCCAAGAGACTGGTAGATGAAATCGTGGTCCCTGTTGCGTTTGGAAAGCTGTCGAGCTCTAGCTCTGCGCGACTGCACCGAGTATCGAGCGGTTTGTTGTTTCGGACGACGCCCTCGGCGTCGTGTCTCATCAGTGCGATAGCACCCGCATCGAGCTGTAAGCCTTCAATCGGAACGGCCGAAGCAGCTCCGTCTTGCTGTGTGTTGGTATGGCGTATTATGCTGCCTTGATCCATCCCTGGCCGACCATTCGAGTCTGTAGCAGAGCAGTCGTGTGGATACAAATCATCCGATCGTGTCTGTGTCTCACGCGACCCTGTCAGAGCCTGGTTTGATGAGATGCCGATCTGCGACCCCGAGAGTGAGGAGCCAAAGCTGATATTGTTGCAAACTTTGTTCTGAGCGGTTGGATCTTGAGCTTGCGGTCTCTCTCTTGATTCTGACACTCCACTGCAATTCGATGAGATTATGAATATGTGAAGCAGAGCACCTGTGGCCGGTTCAAGTCATATTATATCATAGCATGTGGAGACTTGCCTTTGGGACCTTTCGTCCTCTGATATTTTGCAGGCGGGTTGCGACACAAACGCCAATAGCTCGCAGAGAAACGCCAGTAACAAGGCCTTGCAGGAGGCAAGAGATGATGCTGAGATGCTGTCGTCGCCAAAGAACATGGCTGCCTCAGAGGCTCGGAATGCAGGGGTTGGAAAGCCTTCGGACTCGAGCATACTATAGATGCAATCAAACGCTTGCTCTGAGTCTGCTCCGCATTCGTCCAAGTTCATAATGTGCTTGTGGATCTGTGTCAGTGTGTCAGATGTCAGGGACGGATTCTCGCGCCGCATCGCCAAGCAAGCAGTGACATGGCGGATGCTCTTGATCAGCCGTTACCGATGATGGGCCGCAATAAAATCCACAAAACATCAACCAGGACTTCCAGTGGTTGAAGGCATGGTACAGATCGTCGCTCTCATCGCACGATAGCACAGCCGCACGGTATGCAGGAGGGGCGCCATCCGTCCGGCTTCTCGCCTCGGCTTGCACATGGTTGAACCACAACAGCAGTCCATCCTCGAGATCGAATGGAGAAAACTTGAGCGGCCCGGTCTGGAAATGAATCGGCGACTGGACATGGCTGACAATCTGCGCAACATCTATCCTGGCCTGAGCGTCGGCTGACATGAACGCGTCAATGATCTTTTGGTGTATCGTCTGGAGATATGTGAGAAATCCGAATCGGTCCCAATCAGTACTTTGATGCCTGGTCAGACTCACGAACCTCAACCCCGAACTGCACGATAGCGTCTCTGCCAAGCCCAACGTGGGTCATATCACAAACCTCATAGAAGGGCGACTTGTCCATGATCATTTCTTTGATCGAGTCACGGACATTCTTCTTGAAGGAGAGGAAGCCGCGCTCCATCAGCATGTCGACAGCCTCCATGGAGCGCGACGTATCCGTGCCGGAACGAGAGGGCGTCGGGAGCCCTTGAGGAAAGATATAGTCCGAGAGCAGTTGATACAATCGGCCACTGCAGAGCAGATCAATGAGTGGGCCGGGAGCGATTTCTCGCACGTTCTAGTGGACGATCATCGATAAGCATCATGTCGCGAGCTATTGGACGATGGACAGCAAAGAGGATTTCCCGCAAATCGAGATGCTCGATGATCTGGTGTCTCGGCATATCACAGCATCTCTGTGGGGGTGCACCACGGATACCCACACAATCAATTTGGGCGAGACATTCAGCGATTCTGAGCTGTTCGAGTTGGACCGCGCTGGCATGCGATGTCAGAAACAGGAGCATCCATCGCAGATATGGCTTGAAAGTGCTCTACATCATCAGTTTAGATCAGTTTGATCAGTGGTACGCGCCTACTGTGGCCCTAGCTAAAGTTCCAGCAATGCTCTCAATGCCCGTGTCCCGTGTATTCAGATGATACTCACCTCAGAAGGCTCGTAGGCCACTGCCTCCGTTTGGTCGTCGGCCGGGAGAACTCCTTCGGGCGAGGTTGGAGCAGCCGAGCGCAGTCTTGCTGATGGCGCTCGATGCTCTTGCTCATAGACCGACCGCAGCACCGAGAGTATCTGCAAGGCAGCCTCGGCAGACGGCAGGCTGTCCGTCCCTGACACAAGCCGGGCCAGGATGTGCTGTTGCTGCTCGGTGAAGAGAAAGCTGCAGCTTTGCAGTCCCTGCTGCAGGTTCCGGTAGTTGTACGGGGTCAAGTCGACCATTTGCAGCGCTTCGTCAGTGGCGTACCACGACAAGTCGACATGTGACGGTGCTATCATGGACAAGAGCTGACAACCGACAGCGAATCTGTCAGCCAAATGATTCGATACTCTCCTTGATGGCTCAGTCGGCGAGCCACGCGCGGCCGAGCCAGAAGCAACAGAAATTGCCGAAACAGTGCGCAATCCACCACACCTGCACTAACGCAAAGCCATCGGCCACGTCTTCGTGCTGGAACGGCACTTCGCGATCGAGAAGCGATGCGAACCAGCACAGATCGGAAGTGGAAGTCGGAGCGTGCATTTCGCGCATTGATGTCGTGGTGCTGTCGCGCCGGGGTGTTCCTGGACTTTGTTGACTGGTGCAAGTATTCGTATCTCTGTTCTGCGCTGCTCGCCGGCGATCGATGCTGTCGCTCTGCTCGGCTGACTCGAGCGTATCGCCAGGCAGAGGCGAGGGTCGGCCAGGCGAAGGAGCTCGGTGGGAACGACGCGCCAGGAACAGAGCGCGCCAACGGATCACGTGAGCCATGGCATCCGTGTTAGCGCCTGCGACACAGAACTTTTTTCTGGCATGAACCAGATCCGGACGATCAGCCAGAACGCTCTCCTCGCCACCATCGGCATCCAAGATATCGGCCGGCAAGATCGCCAGCATGTCGCAAGCCCCGCCCATCGACGAGAGCTCAGAGATGCTCAAGCAGCTCGAGGCCATGGCTGTGGAGAGAGCCAAGGCTTCCCAGCCCGGCCCGTCCGATGGCATTGGACCTCAGCAAAAAGACTCCAAGGAGCTGTGGGAGCAGTTCAACTCGACCCCGCTGTTCATGAACTCTCTGCCGGAGGATGCAGAGCAAAACGAGACGCTGATGGCGCTGCAGTCGCTCATCTACGACGGAACACAGGAGGGTATGGAGCCGTTGGGTATTGCTCGATGCGGGTGTCCGGTGGCTTGAGGCATGTGTGGCATGGATCTGACTGCCGTGCCTTCCCGCTCACAGAAATCGCCGAGAACTTCAAGAACCAAGGCAACGAGGCCTTCAAGGACGGGCCAAAACGGTACAAGGATGCCATTGGCTTCTACACCCAGGGAATCGATGCCAAGGCCAACGACGATGCTCTGAACTCGGTGCTGTTCTCGAATCGCGCGGCAGTCAACCTGGAGCTTGGTGAGCACCTTGCCTTTTGCCTGATGTCTCATTGCCTGGTGTATTTTGAGTCTGGTGCTGCCGGTACTCATCGTTGCGCGGACTGAATCTCGCAGGAAACTACCGCCGGACCCTCAACGACTGTGCCAGTGCGCTCAAGTTCAACCCCGCAAACGTCAAGGCATACTACCGCTCGGCCAAGGCCTGTCTTGCTTTGGACAAGTATGAGGAGGCCCTGGACTGCTGCGAGCGCGGCCTGCTGGTACGAGTGTCGCAATCGAGTTTTGCATTTGCTTCTCGGATGGGACTGCGATCTGTCACATCCGTCATGTATGCTGAGCAGCACCAACAGCGGTGCGAACTGACCCATCGTCATCCGTCGATAGCACGATCCGCAGAACAAGGCCCTGGTCGCCGAGAAGGGCAAGGTCGTCAAGAAAATGGCCGAGAGGGACGAGAAGCAGCGAAGGCAGCGCGAGCGAGAGGCACTGAAGAAGCAGCAGGAGGAGCGCATCAAGGCCGCCATCGAAGTACGGCTTGGATTGCGAGCAGCAGGCAAGATTGCACTATCGCGACCCATCCTGCGTCTTTGCTAACGATCTCGGCTGTTCTTATTGACCGGCAGCTCCGGGGCATCCGACTGATCACCAATGCACCCAAGATCGACCCGGATACCGAAGAAGTCACCAAAACCGCCCCGCACCCCCTTGCCGATGAGCACCGGGTCCGGTTTGATGCCGGCTCCGACCAGCTGGTCTGGCCTGTTCTGTTCCTCTATCCCGAGTATCACGACTCGGACCTGATCACCCAGTTCTACGAGGACGACACCTTCGCCGCCCACCTCGCCGAGATGTTTGCCGAGCCGCCGCAGTGGGATGCCAAGCGAGAGTACAACCCGGACACCCTCGAGATGTACTTTGAGACACGCATGACCGAGGAGGAGATCAAGCGAAACCCCAAGGAAGCGCACCCTCGCCTGCTCAAGATCGGCAGGGATATGAAACTGATCGAGGTGCTGAGCCACCCCGACTTTCGGGTGGTCGATGGTGTGCCGACGTTCTTTGTGGTCGCTGGCGGCTCGGCCTTTGCCAAGGCATTCCGCAAGAGCTACAAAAAGAAGACACCCAAGTAGCCGGCGGTGTTCTTTCGGCGTGAGTTGCCATCAATTTGTCCCTGAATACACCAGTCTTGTCCTTGGGTCTGTCCCTCCCTCAGCGGCCAGAGCATATTGCTTCGGTCGTCTTGGGTCTGGTCGCCTGCTTGGGAGTGCTTTGCATCTGGCCGCGTCGATCCCGCCCTCGCCGGCTCTCACTCCCATCGCATCCGTTCCATCACATCCCGCTGCTGGATCGATTGCCTCTGCTCCTGTGCTGCCGCTGCCCCCGACTGCTTTGGTACCAGCGACATGGCCACACCGGACATTATAAGCGCAACGCTCATCATCGACGAGGCCGACAACCACGACGTCCCTGATAAGGGCACTTCCACTGTCCTCTTCTCGCTGACCAGCAACAACTCGGCCTTTCCGACCATCCTGCTGTCGCAGGGAGAATACACCATCGGCCGCAGCGCAGGTACTCATCGCCGAGCCTGCAGACTCCTGCGTCGTATCTCGAACCACTTCTCTGACGCTCTTGGTTGCCGCCACCCTCGACTGCACACATAATCGCACGTTGCCGCTGTGCTGCAGAGTGCTCAACCCAGATCCGCAACCAAAGGGTCAGCTCCATCCACTGCCGGATCGCTGCATCGGACAGCGGCCCTGTCACGATCACCGACTCGTCTTCAAACGGCACATTCGTGAATGGAGTCAAGCTGGGCAAAGGCAAGTCGTGGTAAGATGCCGATCCGATAGCTGCTTCCTTTGCTGACTCCATACCGAGTTCGGACGACGAGCAATGGCTGTTTCTGTGGAGTCGATCCAACGACCAACTCTCGCCTATCGAAGAGTTATGGTCGGATCGAGGCCGAACATGTGGCGGATTCTAATCGGCGTCCTCTCGCCGACATCCCGGATTGCCAACCTTCCATCCAGCGAGCTCAAGGCGGGCGACACTGTGTCTTTGGCAAAAGGTAGGCGCTATGCAGACAGGCATCCAACTGAGGGTTGTGCGCACGCAGCAGCCCTTCTCGGGATCGAAGCTTGGTGCAAACGACCATGGCCGTGTGAGAGTCGATCTGCATATTGACCCGCATCCCGACATCTCCAACCACTCGGCCAGACGCTCAGTCCAAGCCGCTCGCCGAGCTGCCTGTCTTTACTCTCACCGCACAAGCCAGACCCAAACTGGAGATAACCGGCACGGTGCTTGTTGAGGATCTTGACGACGAGCCGATCCCGAGCCCCAAAGCTCAAGACTCTGCGTGCCTCAAGCGACCCGCAGATGAGCCCGACCAAGCGGCGTCCTCCTCCAAAAACATCAAGATCGACCATTCGCAGCTCCTCGATACACTGACGTGCGGTGGGTGTCCGAGCGGCGATACCAACTCTGCTCATCGCTGCATCTGAAATGACTCTGTGTGCTGTATGCTGCATACTAACCTGTCCCAACTGTGGCAAACCGTAGGTATATGTCAGGAGATCATGCATCAAGCTGCCAGGTACCGACTCATCGCGATACTACCAAGCATCGAGTTTCTATGCAGCACGTCACTCTGTTCGCCTGGCTAACATGGTCGCTCCTTCAGTCTGTCTCCATGCATGCACAGCTTTTGCGGAGGCTGCCTGAGCGAATGGCTGGATATGTAAGTCCCTTCGTTTGCAGAGTCTCCTTGGCCGCGCCCAAGTGAGCGAGCAGTGAGACTGACATTAAGCTTCGGATATGCTCTTGCAGTCGACAGACCTGCCCCGACTGCCGCCAGCCAGTCAAGCTCGCCTCAACCAACCACACCATCAATAACTTGATTGAGGCGTATTTGAAGGTGAGCAGCTACAGCCGCTGCCAGGACTGTGTTGCGCTTGAGTGAATCGTCTCCAGCAAGCAAAGCGCCACTGACCGACCTCCATCGCCCAGCTCCACCCAGACCAAGCCCGCGACCAGGACGACCGCCAGGAGCTCGAGCAAAAAAACAAAATCAAGACCGACCAGGTGGGGTGCACACTCCTGCCAGCGACATTGTTGCACCACAGTCGCTCTCACCATCGCTGTATTGATGTTGGTTTGTATTGTCGTTCGGTCGATGACCATAAACCAAACGCCCCAGCCTCTCAGGTTCGAGGGCAACAGAAACAACAACGATCGCGACAGCGATGCTGGAAGTGATGGCTCATACAACGACGACGACGATGATGATGACGATCAAGGCAGCGACGACGATGACGACGATGGAGACGGTGGATATGTGTTTGGCGGAGTGTTGCCTCCCGTGCCAGCAATGGCCCCGCCGCTCTTTCAACCGGTATACTTCAACAGGTACCATCGACTCCGTGTGCAGCAGTGGCAGCCGAGTTTACTTCTCCAGCACAGCTGACCAACGTTCCGTTCGATCAGGTGCCGTCACTGCCCGCCGAACGCAGCCCCAGATGGCTTCCGGTGCAATCCTGCCCATATGAACCACATCAACTGCACCACCTGCCAGAACCTGATGCCAAACCGCTGGCGTGAGCCCGGCATCAATCAGAGATGTATGTATGTGCCGTCTGCTTGCTCGGAAACCCGCCCGTTTGACTTACCTCTGTCTCGCTCGCTGCGCCTCCACACCTCGGGCACAGGTCCGTACTGCATCCGATACTTTTGTGCGGCTTACTACGACAACGCATGTCGGGTCGCGCAACCCAACAGCTTCCGCCCGCTCCGCGGTGAGTCGATCGCTCACTGCAATGCACTTTCTGTGATGCCCCCTCTGTGATGCACTCTCGTTCTGGCGCACAATCATCGTCAGCCATCGCTCCGCTGACGACAACGGCAACGTATTCCAGATCACACATTCGATGCCATCCCGGACGCCGCATTCAACCACAACACCTACGAGAAGAACATTTTCGTGCAGTATCTGGAAGACCACAACCTTTCTCCGACCGACATTTGGAGAACGTGTCTGCAAAGGATCGAGGCGGATCAGTACAAGGTCCATGCCAATGCCCTTGGTGCCCAAGGCGGCGGCACCGCCATTGCCAACCGCCCACCCGGAAACAACCCGCTGCCGCAAAACAACGTTGCGCCAGATACCCATGCCTGCCACTCCTGCGCCACCCACATCATGTCGGAGCTGTGCTATCTCTACCGAGCCGACCTCAACCAAGACGATCTGCCCAATGAGGTGCGAAACAGGCCCGACTGCTGGTACGGACGCAACTGCCGGACGCCCCGACACAACCAGGACCATGCTCGGAAGCTGAACCATGTCTGTGAGTACTCACGACGACCCTGGCGGTCGCGCGGCCAAGATCCGTACGATTCCTGATGCGGATGCAGATATGGTTTCCACAAACGCCTTCTCCGATGGTGTGGTTGCGCATCTTTGGCCAATAGGACCCACTTCCCAAACACAGCCTCGCACGACTGGATATCTAACCTCTTGGCCGATTCGACATATAGGCGTCCAGACACGATTCCGATAGCAGACCCCGCATATATGCATGCATTCATGGGCTTGGCTTGTATTGGTGAAGGGGCGGCAGCATCCAACATGATCGCCTTCCATCGAGTGTATATCATCTCCTGCGTGTGGTTGACAGCCTTCCAAGACACATTGCGCGACATCAGTCCCAGCCAATACCACTTGCGTTTGTGTGGCTCTCGCCGATGGAGCGTATGGATCCGCTGCTTGAGATTGCAAGAATAATGCTCTTGGGCCGCATGGACGAGTTCGATGACATCCCGGATCCGGCCTGTTCTCGTCGATCGCTGCCCCTCCATGTCATTCGTGGCGCGCGCCAGCAATCCGCCTTGCCCTTCCAATAGATCCACGCACAGCGCTTTCTCTCCATCCAGATCTGGTTTCTGGCCGGCTCCCCTCGCCTCCTGCGTCCTCTCGCTTCCAGACCAAGGCCGAAACCACCGGCGCCCTGAGCCCCGAGAACAGCAGGCCAAGCATGAGTGTATTTTCGTGGTTCGGAGCTGCCCCAAAGGCGTCCCAGGTCGACCCTCGACTCGAACAGCTCCTGAGCATCCACACTTATCCAAACGACTTCAAATACGTATGTCCATGGCGATCCGCCGAGGGATCAACCTTCCACATGGCTTCCAGGGCGGCTAACGGCTTGCCGTCGGATGTCGCCGCCAGGGAGCTCTCCCTCCTGTGATGGCGTCTTTGCCCTGAGCCGCAACGATGCTGATGGCTGACGCTCTGGTGCTTCTGCAGGACATTGGGCTGAATGCCCTGCCGCTGCTCATCCATCTTCTGCAAAGCGACCGCTCAGACCCGGAACTGCTTGTGGACCTGATCGCGGCCCTGTCGAGACTCTGCGTCCTCGACCAGATCAAGGTGCGTTGTGCAATCGCACCATCCGCTGCTGTCCTGGGATAATCCTGTTTCCTTCGACCAAGCATCGTCGACTTGGCTGCTCGACTTGGCTGCTCGACTTGGCTGCTCGACTTGGCTGCTCGACTTGGCTGCTCGACTTGGCTGCTTGACTTGGCTGCTTGACTTGGCTGCTCGATTCGGACTCATTCAAACACATGTTTTTGGATGTATCGCCATCACCGCCACGGCTGCTGCATTACCGTCGCTGTATCATCCCCAACACCGCTATCTGGCACCGGTCGTCTGCAGATCGTCAAAACAAATGACCAAGCCGAGGACCTTGGGCTGACCTTTACCAATCTGGTTCTGGAGGTGAGAGGGATTCATGTGTCGATCTGGATCTCTGGAACACTGCTGGACGCTGTATACGGCAATGACTCAATGCCGTTCCTTCCGTGATGCTGTTAGAGTCCCGACAACGTCAAGGCCCTGATTTCGGTGCTGGAGGAGAGCAATCCCTCGCTGCGAGCAAGTGCGCTGAAGCTGCTCCTGCTGCTGCAAAACAACAACATTGCCAGATTACGACTGTGTCTCGACCACGATGCCACCATTTTCCATCTGTAGGTCTCACTTGATTCGCTTGACACAAGTCCCGGCTGTCGTGGCCTTTTATCCTGGCACTGATCTGACATGGCCGTCCCCAACAGCCTGATGAGTCTGCTCGACACAGACGACACAGCGACCAAAGCAGGTACGATGCCCAGCCTGCGTGTTCGTAGGTGGGATTGCTTCCGATGGCCCATGTTTACCCAGGCCCGTTCATCCATGCTCGTCGATTGTCTCAACAGGCATCTTGGAGTTCTTGATTTCCGTGACCAAGGACTATCCGGCTGGTCTGGACGCCCTCGCTGAACTCAACTACGAGAGACTGGTACCCAAGGTGGCGGCCGATCCGCTGAGCAGACTGTCGCAGCTGCTCCTTGAGCTTACCCTTCAAATCTTGCGAGCACACCCCGAAAACCAGGTAGGTGAGGTCGCATGTGGATGCTTCCAAGCAGAAACGCCGGAATACCCCAAAGATCATGTCGCGGGTTTCCAGTACCCATCCATTTCGACTTTGCCTGCCACCCAGGACTACTTTATGGACTCGGAGACTCTCATCAATATCGAGGCAATCTTCAGCTCCAGTCTATTCAAGTTCAGTGCCCCGTTCAGCCCCGAGCCCGACGAGAGCCAACAAATTGCCGTGACCAATGCCATTCTGGTCATGGAGATCCTGCGCGAGTTCTTGAACCCCCACAGCCACTCGAATGTTCGGTACCAGGTATGCTATGTTGGTATTGTCGCTGTGCACACTGGACAGCCATGCTGACACCGCCCTGCCGAACCGTGCGTGCAAATCTTGGTCCTGGAGAATCTGTTCAGCAAGGGAACCATCGTCATCAAAGTGGTCGAGCTCGCGCTCGCGCCCTTGGATGTCATCCCACTGCCACTCAAGATCACGGTGAGACTCAATGGCCGGCAATTACTCGGTACCCACAGCACTCGAGGACAAGCGACGTTCCCAGTGCAATATGCCACCCCACCGACTTGTGATCAGGAGATGTGCAGCAGCCATTTCTCGGTGGTAATGAACTCTGTTTGAACTACCAGGCACTCTGTACCATGGGAGACCTCATGCGCGGAAGCTCCTCGAACCAAAAGTACCTGACCTTTGACGAAGCAAACTCGTCCAAAGGGTTCATCCAGCTGGTCGAATACGCAACGGGCACACATACTCTGATCAACTTGCGGATAGTTGCATGCTACGCCTTCGAGGTGAGTGCTCAGCATGCAACACATTGTCTGGTCGAGTTGGGTATGTATATACTTCACTTTTGAGTGGCGGCTGAACCTACTTTACTTTCAGTCGTTCCTCATCCATAACAACGAAATGAAGGCGGCGATTGTCAAGCTCATCCAGATTCCTTCCGGCAGGGCCTTCAGCGGTGGGGGCACCAGGTGCATCTTTCCGCGGTGGCCAATGATCCACTGCATCGCGTCATAATTGTGACGGCGACTGATTCCACGATTATCGACTCTACCCTTTTGCTGGACGTCTGCCGTGCCACAGGTCTTGCGGCGCTTGTGGATCTTCCGTTGGCTGCCGAGCCCGTTGACCCCACCCGATTCTGGTTTGCGGCAAACTTCCTGTCCATCATCATTCAGCACAACAGGGAGGCAAAGAAGTGGATGACCAGTGCCCACGGCGACACCACCATTCTCCAGCTCTGGATGAACGCGCTCATTCGAAACTTTCAGAACCGCGCCGACCCGCGCATCCAGTCCAGCCTGCTGGTGCTGTTGATCACAGCCCTGATTGAAGTCAAAGATCCAGCGCCATTTGTGGCTGGCAGCCTTGCCGTGGACCATGTAAGTCGCTGCCAATGCGATTGGCTCATCACCGGTCCATCTTGGGTTGCTCGATCAGCCATCTTTGTCCTCCCATGTGTCCCAGCTTGTTTATACCTCGCTCGCCAAAGGATCGCCATGACGGCTCCTCACACCTTTTTATCTCCCATGATGCACCCGCCGCGATGCCCCGAACTTATCATCGTATCCCCGTGGCATCCAGCTGGCCGATATGGCATCCGCTGGAGAAACCATGACCCAGGGCCTGGCCGCATTCTTTCTCGGACTGTGTCTGAGCTACTGCACAGACGAAGCGCCTGAGCTCAGGTCAGTGTCCTAGTGTGCCTTGCTGCATCCGTGGAAGCAGCCACGACGATGCGGTATTATGCGTGCGCCGGACCAGTGGGTCGTCTGGGTCATGGGCCGTTGCCACCCGCAGTGCTCATCTGTGCTCACAAGTAAGGTCAAACACGCCGCAGGAAATCAATCCACAATGGCATACACACGACACTGGGCATCGAGATCTTCAAGTCACGACTTCAGAACCTGTGCGAGCTCCCAACGTTCCGAGAGCTTCAGAATCGGGATCACTCTTTGCTGGTAATGGCGATGGACGGAGGGGAGATGCAGCCAGCAACAACGACTGCAAGTATCGCGGTTCGTGTGTGCGAGTCGGGTGTGCGAGTCGGGTGTGCGAGTCGGGTGTGCGAGTCGGGTGTGCGAGTCGAGTGTGCGAGTCGAGTGGCTGACGCTGGATATCTTGAAACAGGTGTCTGTCGAGAAAACATCGACCGGCATTCCCTGCTTGCTTGTCGACCACAACATTGTCGAGTTGGTTCAGTCGATGAAGGGTATGTGGCGACTGCAGTGGGCCGCAAACATCATCAACCCTGCGGGACCAGGGGCTACGCCTCCAATCCACTCTTGGAGATGCTTTCTTCTCTTGAGCGCACTGCTGGCCTGATTCGATCTGATGTGCTGGGTTGTCTTTCTGGCATTTGTCTCTGCCCTTCTGCTCAAAAGATCACGTTGTGCGCTGCGCCAACCCGGTGGACGAGACTGACTCGAGCCAACTCGCTGGTAAGCCAATGTCGACCGCGTGCTGCCACCCTGAACTGAGAGTTCCGAGCCATCTCCCCGCGTTCACGACCTGATACTCACCCGAGAACGATGGATCCTTCTGACTGTGCCGAAAGATCTCCAGAGACTGCGCGTACAGCTGGAGGAGAAGGACGAGTACATCGAAGAGCTGAAACTCCAGATCCGCCAGCTAGAAGAGAAGGTCGACTCGCTCCAGGTAACGAACGCGCACATTCCCTCCCGTTGGCACACTATGCTCTAGTCTGCCAGTTGCAATGGGGATGGCAGGCTTCCAACTGTTCTGTCGAAACAGCAGCTTGACCACACGGATTGGGTTAGACACGGCCTGCTGTTGCTGACTGTCAGACAACGTGTGCTTTCACTTGCAGGCAAAGGCACAGCAGCAGGCCGAGGCTGAGGCCGCTGCCCAAACAGACCGACCCAGCCCCGCTGCTCTGTCCCTCGACGATGGTGCCGCTGCTGACACGGCTGTCGCAGACTCGGTCGAGCCCGTCAAGCCCAAGTCTAGCGCCGAGCAACAGAATGATCCGTCCCAAAGCGACTCGACGGCGCGTCCTCAAGCGGAGGTTCTTGAGACCGCAGCCAACAACGAAGCTGCTGAGAGCCAGGACACTGCTCCCCCGCGCGATGCATCCATCAAGCAAGTTCCCAAAGATCCCAAGGATGCCCAGCTCTTCTATCGCACCGCCATTTCGAACCAGATCAACACCGGGCTGGTCAATCCGCACTACTGCTACGAGCTGGCCGTCTTGCTGCAGCAGTCCAAGGACTATGCCGGAGCCCTCCGCTACTACAAGATGGCCTCGCATCGCGGACACATCCGCGCCAAAAAGTCCCTGGGCGATCTGTACTTCCACGGGCTCGGGGTCGAAGCCAACGCCCAGACGGCGTTCGAACACTATCTGCGCGCCGCCGAGCTCGGTGATCTGGACAGCCAGAACTATGTAGGATTCTGCTACTACAAGGGCATCGGCGTCAAGGCGGACGACGAGCTCTCGATCCACTGGTACCAGAAGGCGGCACAGGCGGGCCACACCAACGCGCAGAGCTCGCTCTCGCTCCCGATGAAGTGTCGGGGCGATCTGTTTTTCCATGGCTCCGAGACGATCCCCAAGGACGTCTTCGAGGCTGTGCGGTGGTACCGCAGGTCCGCCGACCTCAAGAACCCCATGGCCCAGAACATGCTTGGGTACTGCTACGAGGAGGGCATCGGCATCGAGAAGGACGGCAGAAAGGCCTTTGAGCTGTACGAACGCTCTGCAAAGGAAGGCGGCTGGGCCCCAGCCCAGTTCAACGTCGGCATGTGCTATGAGAAAGGCGTCGGAACCGAGCGCGACCTGGCCCTCGCTGAGATCTGGTACCAAAAGGCCGCGGGACAGAACCACAAGCAAGCACAAGAGGCCCTCGAGGCGCTGCTCAAGAACAAGCAGCTCCTTTGAAGGGTTAGACATGGGGATGGCATGCCGGTTGGATGGGAGAAGGGAGGAGGTCGTCCCTATTGACTCGGCAGCAACCAAAATGCTTGCGGATGCTTGTTTGAATGGAGGCCGAGGGTAATCGGGACCCGGAGCCATCCACTCATTTCAGTCGACGAAAGCACTGCTTTGATTTATGGACTATATAATGATTCTGTATTGCAAAATATATGGAAATACTGCGAGGATTCTTGATTCCCGATCGAAGGCAAACGCACAAAAACAAAGCCGACTGGGAGGAAGGGAGCAGAGATAACACTAGCGATGAAACGAAAAGATGCAGACCAAACCCAAACACCCACAAAGCAAGATTGGCCAAATATCAGTGTCTGCATTCAAAATGATATCCAAAGCTCGGCGCTTCAACACATCAGCACATCGACACATCGACACATGGTCAACTGGGCAGATCCACACAAGTCAGCATCGAGGCGTTGCACACGAGTCGGGTGCACAAAATAAGCGAGCGAACGACTCCCAGGAGTCTGCAGCCGTTGCGTCAGCAAACAGCAGCAAGAGCGGTAGGGTATCGGGGAGACCGTCACTGACTTGGTACATCAGACCAATGCTGAGCAAACACTGGGCCGACACTGGGCTGACCAAAGTCGCAGATGTCGCAGGGCAGATCCTCTGACCACCCCGCCTCAAGCGACAGCGGGAACGCGCTCATTGGTCTGCCTCGCGTTCCGCCCAGCGATTGCGGGACTTGCGAAGGTTGAACTTGCCCTTGAATGGCTTGCCGGTGTTCTCGAAGGGCCGCCAGGTCTTGAGGTTGGAGACAGACCGGTCAAAGTACGACTTGACATTGGCCTGGATATTTTTGAGAGCCTCGCGTTTGGAGAAAGAAGACCCGGTGGACGACGAAGTTGCGGACGACAGCGATGCCGAGGATGCGTTGCGGAAGCGCAGTGTCAGGGGATGTGATCGAGCCGATGGCGCAGAGGTCGAGGCCGACGACGATGTGGGCGCTGGGGAGGCCGGAGAGGCCGGAGAAGTGACCCTGGTGATCTTGGTGCGCACGGTGCCGTCGCCAGTGAAGGATGTCGTGCATGCGTTCGCCGACATGGCAAGGCCGTGGTGATGGCGCTCTGGATGCAGCTGGCGCGACTGAGAGCTTGCTGTGGTTTCCAGCGCGGGCGAGAGTGTCTCGGAGTTGATGGACGGAGACTGGGACATGGGAGTGACGGTGACTTCGGTTTGGGTGTCTGTTTCAGCGTCAGACACATCGTCGTCGTTGTTGTCGATGTCGTTATCTTTGTCGTTGTGGCCGTCATCATCCCTGGCTCTGTTGCTGATTCCGTGGTCGACGGCGCCATTATCGTCGTCAGCACTGCGATCCAGGTCGATCAGGCGAACGATGCCGTCAGCGCCACTGGTGTTCGAACTGGCACCAACATCAACACCAACATCACTGCCAGCGAAATAGAGCGAGTCCGTGGATAATGGCAGATCGGCCTGGGAAGGCACTAGCGAGCAAGGGTATTCAGAGTCGCGAGAGACAGTGTTGTCGGACGGCGCTGTCGAAGGAGAGACAGAGCCCGAGTTGAAAGACTCGGCGCAGTCTGTCGAGGACTGCGGTGCCGCTGGCAGAGATACCGGCAGAACCGTGATGGCCAGGGGTAGGGCAGAGTCGAGAAGCGAGGCAGACGAGGCAGCCGTGAGTGCATCAAGCTCCACGGACTTGACGAGTGTCTCTGGTGAATGCGGAGGAGGGACTGGGAGCGCGGCGGCAGAATCGACCGCAGCCCGGGGGAAAAGAGTACTCGAGGCTGGATCCGCGGGCGCCAACAACGCTGATGGCGCCGACGGAGAGTTGTCCTGGGAAACCGGCATAATACTTGGGGATGCAGTCTCCTCGGCTCCGGACTTGACTGCGGACTCGGCATCCGATCCGGCATCCGATTCGGCATCCGATTCGGCATCTGTGTCTGGCTCGGGCAGTTCAGGGATCGGGGGCTCCATCGAAGGCTCCGTCGAGGGCTCCGTCGGCTCTTCAAGCTCGATGATTTGCGAGCTGGTGAGTGACGGCGCACTGTCGGACGGAGAAATGGGCTCGGCAGTGGTGAAGGTCTCGGCGACAACCTCGACATAAAAGTAGCCCGGTGAGCGGAAGCGCTGTTCGGCCGGATCGACGAGCGAGAGTCGCGAGGTGCGATGGGTGGCTGTGGGCGACGACGGCGAGGGCCGCAAGTAACCGGGCTGCTCCGGCTTGACAAAAGCCGAGACCACAAACGGCTTGGCAAAGTCTTTGGAAAGCCGCTTCTCGTTGCGCTGAGCGTCGCGCGAGAACGTCGAGATCATGGAGTGGCGCTTGGGGGTGGTGGGTCCAGGTGCAGGCTCGGGGCCCTTAAAGTGCTTGGGACAGCCACAAGCCCTGGTGACGGACGGAGAGCGGGCCCGAGAGGCAGCGGATGGGGCGGCACGATCCATCGACACCATGGCAAGGGAAGACTTTGGCCGCTCGATGGCTGCGCGAGCGCGGGGAGGAACATGGGACGCCTGCTGGGGACTGGCCTCGTGGACGGACGAGCGCGGGGCCGTGCGGGAGGTCTGTGACGGTGTGCGCGAGGTGCGAGACGGCGTTCGAGCGAGCTTGGACGGGGTGCGGGCCTGCGATGGCGTGCGGGGGGTTCTGGATGGTGTTCGCGAGAGACGCTGGGCAGCAGGCTTGTTGGGGACGGGTGTCGGGGTCCTGGAGCGGGCCAGTTGGCTGGGCGGGCGTGCCGGTTGCCCGGGTTGAGATGCCGAGACTTGTTGGTGCGGATCATGCTCCTGAATCGGTGGCGCTGGCTGTGCTTGGGGTGCTTGGGCTATTGCTTGGGCTGGTGTTGTTGCTGTTGCTGTTGCTGTTGTTGCTGCTGCTGGGTCAGAGTTGCCGGCAACGGGACTGGTTCGGGACGGTGGCGGTCCCGATAGGGATGGCTGGCGACAGGAGGGGCTTCGGGCTTGGGATGCCGAGCGGCGGGGCGGTGAAGGACGGGATGCGTCGGATCCGGGTGCCGATGAGCGAGAGATGGTGTGGCGTCGAGAGAGATTTCTGGTTAGGGGCGCAGAGAGCAAAAATGTGCCCAAGGATGTCAGCGGGGTGGTGGTGACGATGGTGGTGTCGATGGCATAGTCGCCGTGGAGGGCAGAGGTGGTGGTCTCGACGACGACCTCGGGGGCATCCGAAGGCGAGCCCTCGGGCGGAGGGCGGGTGAGCGTGCGGGTTGAGATTGGGGTGTTGGAGTGGCTGACGGTAGTGATGCCGGCATCGGACTGGCTGACAAGCGTCTGGAAGGACGAAGGGCTGAAGGAGGCAGGGCGAGGAGGCTTCATGGTCTGCACAATGCGCTGGTTGACGGTGGTGGTGGTGGTGTAGAGGATCTTGCCGACGACGGTCTGGCTGATGGAAGTGGTCGAGGACTGGGTCGAGAGGCTGCGGTCGACAGGGGGACACTGCAGCGAGGGATGCGCAAGTGCAGAATCGGGCGGCAGCCGGGTCAGCGACAGGGGCGACGACGGAGAGAGGGACGGAGACGGCGAGGCTGAGCGGATTGCTGGGTCCTGAAGGTTGTAAGGGCCAGGAGAGCGAGGGGGCGAGGCGTAGAAGGAGACAGGGACAGACATGTGGGCGACAGGCAAGAGACAGCGGTCGTCCTCGCGGGGATCGAGAAGCGAGCTGCAGTAGGATGGGCTTGGGGTGATGGAGGCAAAGGTGCAGGAGGAGGGGGTCGTCGAGGCGATGGAGGACCGGTGGCCCAAGTTGTAGACAGAGGAAGGCCGAGGGTCGTCGGACGGGAGGGACGTGCAGATGACACTCCAGGGGGCGGGATGCACATGGGAGTGTGGATGTGGATGTGGGTGTGGATGTGGATGTGGATGATGAACGGGGTGCGACGGACATGCGCTGCGGTGGGGAGCAAGAGAGGGGACGGGAATCTTGGAGGGGGTGGATGGACGGGGCGAAGGACTGAACGGACGGGGCGAAGGACTGAACGGACGGGAGGAATCCGTGGGTCGGAGGGAGGGACTTGGGGACGGTGAGGGCGACGGCCGCAAGTCAAGACATCCTGCGGGCCCGCTCTGGGCCATGGTTGGATGTGATGTTATGTGGGGAATAAGAGAGGCGGCCAAGGCGAAAGACGATATCGGCAGCGGGTGGTTTCAAGATTGCATCAAACCAGCGAAAGCGAGCGATGCGGGACGAATGGATGTGGAATGTCTGGCATTAGACGAAGGAGACTATCCAGGGAGACGGTGGCTCGCAGCGGGAAGCAACGGAGCAAGTTAAGCAGTTAATCGAGACAACCAAGTTAAGCAAGTCGAGACCAAGTCGAGACCAAAGACCAAGTCGAAGCCAAAGAGCAAATCGAGACCAAGACCAAGTCAAAGCCAAAGACCAGGTTGAAGCCAAGAGCAAGCGGCCAAGCAAGTCGAGCAAGCGGGGGAGGAAAAGGTGTCGCAAAGCCAAAAGCGGACATGTGCGACCGCGGCCATGTGGCCATGTTCCCTTTGCGGCTGTTCATGTCAGTGGGCGCACGTGTCGACCGAAAGTGCGGCTGCACACACACGCACAGCCGCCTTGCACAGAACTGCTGCCACGTGTTCCACGTGCAAGCAGCGTGACCCACTCCAAATGCCTGCGCACGACCCCTTCGCAGCCGGATCCAGCCGGATCCAGCCGTTCAGGATTCGGATTGCTGCTCACACACACACTCACTCACAGCGAGAGAGAGAGAGAGAGAGAGAGCGAGATCAACTCCAGACGACACCGACACCAGACAACAGACAACTCCAAGTAACGACACCAACACCAGACGACAGACAACTCCAAGTAACGGCATGCAGCAGCCCCAAGTAACGACATGCAGCCCCCAGACGACACCCAGACGACACCCCCGTCCGCAAATCAATCGCCCCGCCGGCTACACAAACAGTGGCGCGCCAGCACAGCGGCCGCGTCTCGCCCGCGCTCTCGTCTGCGCTCTCGGTTTTTGTCGTTTTTCTTCTCTGTGCAAATCGGAGCCGTTTTGCGTTTTTCGCTTTTTTCGCCTCGAGGTTCTTTTGCTCTCGCCCTCGGCCTTTCCCTGCATCGCTTCGCCTGCCAAAGTGTCCAAGATGGCTTCCCGACTCGTCCTCCAGCAAGCGTCCTCCCGCTCTGTCTTTGTCGCCCAGTCCGTCGCCGCCCAGGCCTCGCTGCCCAAGGCCGCCAAGGCCTCCGCCAGCGGCTTCAAGGGCGCCGTCGCCTCCAACGGTCAGCTCTCCTCCAAATCCCTCTACCAAGGTTGCGATGCGCTGCTCTCTCCGATCCATTGAATTCCTGCTGCTCTCCCTCATCCCTTGCCATTGCTGCCTCTCCGTCCTGTGTCCATTCGAAGCCATTTTGCGCGTCTCTCGGCTGCCGCGGCCGCCTGACCACCGTCGCATCCGGCATCCGATGGAATGCATCCGGCAGTTGCTGCATCGCAACCCTGGCCCTGTATTACATTGCCCCGATTGAATCGAGTGCCGCTTCCTGCTTCATTGTGGTGCATTCCGCCTCGTGCTCATGAATGCATGGCAGTCGAGTCGCCACACCTTGCCTCATCTTGCCTCATCTTGCCTCACCTCGTCCACCATGGCGACGCGAGTCCTAACATCATCTCCTCCCTCGGCCACACAGCCCCCCTTGCCTTTGCCAACCAGAAGCGCACCTACGCCGCCAAGTCTTACTTCCAGACTGTCGATGCCGATGCCAACACCTACATCCCCCCCGACAACTCCAACTACAAGATCAAGAACTACAACGAGGACAACAGCCGCACCTTTGCCTACTTTGTCGTTGGCTCGTTGAGTCTGGTCGGCGCTGCCACTGCCAAGAACATCATCACCGACTACCTCTACCACTTTGCTGCCTCGGCTGATGTCTTGGCCATGGCCAAGGTCGAGGTCGACATGGCCGCCATCCCCGAGGGCAAGAACCTGATCATCAAGTGGCGCGGCAAGCCCATCTTTGTTCGTCACCGCACTTCCGAGGAGATCCAGGAGGCCAACTCGGTCAGTCTGGCCGAGCTGCGTCACAAGGAGTCGGATCTCGACCGTGCTCCCAAGCAGGACTGGCTGGTCATGCTCGGTGTCTGCACTCACTTGGGCTGTGTCCCCATTGGCGAAGGTAATGTCGTGCGTCGCTGTGGATCGCACCGTTGGATGTCCTGACCGTCGGCATCAGCTCCAAAAACGTCTCTCGCTCGGATCCTGCTCCGCCATCATTGTCCCAAGAGTCGTCGCGTCTCCCGCTGCATCTGGACACCACCAGCACCACTTCGCCATCATCGACACAACTGGATACAACTCGACACACGGACGAATCCACGAGCCACCTGTGCACCTTGCCCTGGACATAGTGCTCTGTGGATGTCCTTCCTGTTTTGCGAACGTGAGCTGCTACCGGACCCATCGATGCAGATCCACATCCTGACTCGATCAGCGCACACGACCAATCTGGAAGAGTCTCTCGATCCACATCTCGACCAGCACGACTCATGTCATTGGACGATCAACGAACCATCGCCCATCCCCTTCTCGCTCAGACACTGAGCCGTCCACGACAGATGCCGGCGCGACGACGATCGGAGATGACGCTCTGTAGCGAATCCGCCATCGCTTGACTAGTCAGCTGAACAGTCGCAGCACCACAAATCACTAACCTGTGCCAACCCATTGCTCTGCCCTCCCCCCCTCCACAGCTGGTGACTACAACGGCTGGTTCTGCCCCTGCCACGGCTCCCACTACGATATCTCTGGCCGCATCCGAAAGGGACCTGCCCCTCTTAACCTCGAAATCCCTCCGTACACCTTCACCGAGAACAACAGCATCCTCATTGGTTAAATGAAAGGCTGACCTCCACCTCCTCTTCTACCGTCCCCCCGTGCCTCTGCTGTTTACTCACACCGGGATCGCGTTCTCTTCAATGCATTCCCCATTCCCCCCCCCTTCCCTTCCTCTTCCATTTTCCGGATCTCGCCTGACCTGGCAGCAGCATGTGTGTACGAAAGTGAGTGAGCTTTGGCGCGCGGAGAGGGCCAAGGAAAGGAGCAAGGAAACGTGCAAGGAAAGCGCGAGAAGGAAATAGAGGGACGACGTTGCGTCTCCATGCATTTTGTCTTGATACTGGTGTGCCGATGGGGATGTCACGGACATGCAAAGTATCCGGAGATGCTGAGGGTGTGGATGCTGCCGATCCCAGTGTGGTGACATGTGTGGCGACATGTATGGAGCGTCAACACATCATTGCCAGCTCACTGATCGGCTGCCGACCTCTACCAAGTGCCAACCTGGATCAGGAGATATGTTGGTCTGCATCGATTGAGTCCAATCGGCATCTACAAACGTTGAAGGACAACGACGCTCCCACATCTCTGATGCAACCGCACACCGCAGGGCGACACCACACTCATGAGAGAAGCAAACGGCGGTGTAGAACAGCACGATTGATTTGTGCGAGTCTCATAGAATCAAACGACAGTTTCGTTTACAACGGTTCAGGGATTGAGTTGGAGAAGATCAATGAGGAGAGAGTGATTTCAACCCTACTGGGTCGGTGAATGAGGCCCACGATGTGCGGCTTTGTTTGGATGTTGGCTGAGGGGGGGAGTGAATCGGATGCGGCCAAGTATTTGCCAGCATCATCGAGATGTCTTCGGTGCCATCTCACCGCAAGACACCGACTCAAATCAAGCTTATCACCGCCAAGCAGACGATGGCAGACACGGCAGCCAAGGCGATCCCAGCCTGAGGCAGTATCGAAGATGCTTGCGATCTAATGGGATTGCTCGTCGTGCCTCCAGGCTGAACGACGGGCGAAGGGAGGCTGGGTGGTTGGAGGGGCAGACTATTCCCTGCGATCTTGGCAAGACCAGAGCGCCCCTGTCCTTGGTCAAAGATGGCGTAGTACTCGCGAAGGAAAACATCGCCGAGAATCCAACCAGGAATCGTTTGAGCGGGCTGTATGGCCAAGAAACATAAGCCGGCTGTAGGATCGTATTTGATGTACTGCTGGTGAGAAACCGGGAAGGGCTTGTCCTGGAGGTAAATGACAATGTCTGGGAGCGAAGGCTTGACATCGCGGCAGTTGACCAGGAATAGGGTTTGTCCTTGGATGGACCTCGGATAGATGTTGATTCCAAGCCCAGGCACAATGATGTTGGTGAAGCTGGCTTGGTCGACAAGCATAATCGATGTTCCTGTGACCCAAGAGCATGTGTTAGCTTGACCCTGTCGAGGGCGAGAGGCTGCATCATGCACCCGAGAACCGTGAACAGTCACTTTACCGGTATCGAGAATGCCAAAAGTGTTGGTGTTGATGGTTCTGGAGCCGATCTTGACGGCCGTCAGACGATGGGCCCAGTGGTAGCGATATGGAACACCGGGAATGAGGTCGACGGGGAGCCAGGTGATGCTGCCCTGAAATCGCTCGGGGTTGTACCCTCCCAAGGTGAACTCGCCGCCCGAGACCTGGACACTGTTCGGTGATACTGCATCGAGCCAAAAGGCAAACATGGGGTTTTGAATCGCCCCGTTGCGCATGAGACCCTGGATCACTGTTTCCTGGGAGGCAAGGGTTGGGTCTGGAAGTATCGGAGCAGTCGCTTGTGTGAGAACAAATTCAACACAGATCCCTCTTGGCAAGTGTGTCGGCCTGGAAGAAAGCACGGCGGGCAACAGCCCCTCCCTCGGGCCCAACGAAGTGATGCTGTCCTGGATTGCTGCAAACACTTCACTCTCCGCATCCCAGAGTCGGTGAAGGAGGAGAGCGCACACGTTTTGACGATGGTGGGGGGGGGGTGAGCCAGTTACGCACTAGTCGCCTCTTCATTGAAGGCAAGGCCCAAGATTCCATCCATTCCATTCCGGATCTGCTGCTGGAACACCTGGTCGATTTGGGCGACGTCGTTGAAGATTTGCTTTGTCGATGTATACCCCAAGAATTCAACGGTTTCCTGGGGAGAGGAGAGCAGCAATATGAGACGAGACGAGCAGAGGGGTGAGGAGGGGGCGAGCGACCACAGGGCAGATCATGGTGTCTTTCAACTGCCTCGAAACCCAAGTCACATATGGCATTCGGTCAGAGCGCCGGACTCACATATCCCAAGTATCCACTGGCACTCCCGAGCCCGTACGACAGGGGCTCGATGACTGTCGTGAGCTGAGCGGTTGAGCTCAGCTGCGGAATGTACGGCGGGCTTGATCGGACGATGATACAGGCTTGACAGCTGGAGCCGCGGACCCACAGGCGGTTGGATCCAGTATCGAGGTCAACAGTGAACTGCTGGGCCGGTGTTCTTCTCGATCAAAGGGGGGCAGGGCACAGAGTTCAGTTAAGCGGGAGGAGGTGTGCGACTCGCTACAGCAGGCGGGGGATAGAGAGACCGGCGATGCTTACCCGATGCTGACAGTGGCGAAATACTGGCGGCGTTGGTGGGAGTAGATAGGCGGTATTTTCATCCATTCGGATGGCAGTGAGAGCAAGCGTCGAGACCCGTGCAGTACAGTCAGCCTGGCTTCCGAATCACATAACGGAATGGGCGTGGAGAAGGACGGTTCTCTGCCCACACACCGATGCAGGTACGGTGGAATGGCTGGAGCTGGGGGAGTGTGCTTTGCTATTTCACACAATCCTGCATCGATGAACAACCCCCGCACGACCCAAACTTACACCCAAGTTGGATAGATTTTCCAAGGGTGCCGACGACGAATCGTTGGTCGCCACAAAGCTTGGCGCAGTTGTCCCGTTGTTTGACCACCTGCCTTGGGCGGCTCGGCTGGCAGCAACATGCAGCTCCAGAAGCGAAGGAGGGGTTTCCGACCCAGGATAGCCACGTCGAATAGGGACGCTAGATGGAAGCAGGGTCGCCAGTGACAGGGGTGTGAGTGCGTGATTTGAAACGGGCGACCCAGGCGAGAGGTGACGGCCAAGACCGCCCAACATCACCTGCGTCATAGCCAACAGTCACATCCCGTCCCTCCTCCCGCAGCGTGGTGCTGATGCACATACGATATTCCAGAGGGAAAAGCCTGTCCGCTGGCTGTCATCAAACAAGCAGCCAACGGGAGAATCAGAGCAGAAGCGGCCGATAGCCTCATCGTGGACGGCAAAACCCAGGAGCGCAAACGGAGATGGAGACAGACCCAAGCAGGCAGACCCCATTCGCGAGAGCCACCGATATCGACGCCAGACAGGGGAGCCGATCCAGAGCGCATGCTTGGTTGCGTCCTCCAGAATTGGAAAGGCGCAAGCCCGTAGGCGCGCACAAACCCCGCCCAAATGAAACACTTGTCCAGTCATGTACATCAGCTGACCGCTTCCCCCCCCCTCGCCACCGCCATCTCTGTCACAGTGTCAACCTGCATCTCCCAGTGAACCAATCAAGTCCGTGAAAGCCGTAACTGCGAATGAGTCAGCTGGCTCGAGAACTTGTGCTGGATACCCTGCGACTCTCTTGTGCTGTTTCGTATTTTGAATGCACTTACAACAGCAGCCTACAGTCACTGATATCGCACCCGGTTCCCTTGCCACTGAGAGTCGCTGCCTCGATCCAAAATCTGCCCAGGACCGCCTCCATCGTCGATCTGTCCATCCGCATCACAGTTTCCTGATGAGCGTTTCTCGTATGTCTCTGATGCGTTCTGAACCGATGGCGGAACACACAGCGGTGACACCCCGGGTGGACTTGCTTCAGTAGGATGATGCACACTGATGATAAAGTCTCCTCGAGAGGAGAGATATCTTCTTATCTCTCCCGTTGCCACCATCACAACTCGCCCTCGTATCAACTCAAGACCTCCAACTGAACGTAGCCAGTGACGCTCTTGTGTGTGTGAGCTGTCATAGATTTGTAATAGTCGTTCTGTCTGCTACATCAGGAGAGCCCATCACACATATCGATCAAAGTACATCAATGGGCAGGGACCCAAACCAATAATGCGGGAAATCCAAATGATCAAGAGTACCATGACCAGCTATGAAGTGGAACAATATCGATTCCGTCTTTCAACCCAGCAAGACCAGACCCAAACTAGCTGCTAGAACCAGTTGACGAATTTTTACCGGTCTGGATTGAATTGTACGTCGTGAAAACAATAATACCAATTATAAGCAACGCCAAAAAGATACAACCCATCATACCCGCTACCGCCGCGACAACATACGCTCCTTCCATGATCAACCAACTTAAAAAGTTGCCATAGAAGAACTCATGATCGCCATCGAAAACGATGCGACAACCTTTCGGAATTCCCGATATCCTAAAGCTTGTTACACGCGATGAATAATACAAGGCATCGAAGCCCAAGTCAGTGCAACCGTCGTAACAGGATACTTCCAAGTGGCTTGACATCCACCACCCATTCACATGTAGGGTCTCGAGAGACGGTAACTTCTCGGCTAATCCTCTGATCCTCTTTATCGAGGGAGGGGTGTGGAGGACCTTAAGTGTAGGAGATGGTATCTCCGACGCTGTGCTGCGCGTACTGCGCGTACTGCGCGGCGCAGTGGGTCGTGACCTGTGCTGCGCTTTGCGTTTTCACGCACCGCAGGCAGGCCACCGCAGGGTATACCTGCGGGTTGCCCCCGTTCCCCCCGTTTGTCTGGAGTTCGGTTTTATCGTGAATAAACGTAAGTGCTCCCCGAGCTCACCCGTCCGCTAGAGTAGCCTAGCACCGCCCTGTTCTGCCCCGTCCTGTCTTGTCTTGTACCCCCTCCCTCCCCGTCTTGCCCCAACGTCCCAGTAGTGGACGTTACATGGTAGCATCGGAAATCCTCGTCTTGTTTTCGTCCTGTTTGTCCTCTTTCTAGATCCTCAAGCTGGATCCCGCCTCTCTTGCCGACCGACTCTCCTCTCTGTCCCTGGAGCCTGCCCCTGCCATGAGCAACCCCCGCCCACTTCCGGAAGCCTTCCTCAAGACCTTCCGTGCCCCAGTGTTTACTGGGAAGAGCCGCTCCTCCTCGGTGGAGGACTGGCTGCAGCAACTCGAGGACTACCTCGATGCTGCCCAAGTCGCCCCCACCCACCACATCGTCGCCGCCAAGCTCTGCTTAAAGGACCAGGCGTACCGTTGGTACCGCCGCCAAGGGTTCGACGAGCAGAGCGAAGGTGTGTTTGACGACTTCAAGGACCGCCTCCGTCGCCGCTTCGGCAGCCCCAATGCTGAACTCATTGCCCGTGACAAGCTATACTCTCTCGTGCAGCGTGGTTCTGTGACCCGCTACATCGAGGAGTTTGAAGACCTCTCCTCCCAGATTGAGGAGCTGGGCTCTGCTGATGCGATGTACCTCTTCCAGAAGGGCCTCAAGCCCAAGATCAGAGAGTACATCGCCAGCAACCCTGATGCCCGCAAGTCCCTGGACGTGATGATGGACGTTGCCGAGAACCTCGACAACGTCCAGTACCATGGCCGCCAGTTCTACCCGCAGCTGGCAGGCGGCCATCGGTCTCATCACGTCCCAGCCCGTCCGCCTCGCCCGGCCCCGCCCGCAAGACCCATGCCTGAGCCCATGGACGTTGACGTCAACGCCATGGAGGCTCGTGGCCCTCCCCGCTCCCGGTTCCAGCAAGCTGCCACTGTCTCCCCCAAGGACAGACAGAAGCAGGAGGACCTCCGCCATGGTTCCTGCTTCTTCTGTCACCGACCGGGACACCAGGCCAAGGAGTGCCCCATGAAGTCGGGAAACGGCCGACCCTACTAGGTGGCTCTGGAGCCCTAGTAGGAGACCAACGCCGTGGATTGCTCAATGCAGTCCACGCGTCTCCAGAGGAAGTTCACCTCGCCCCCTCCCCCGAAGGAGAAACAAACCAAGTGTTGTGCGTCGTGCGAGAGGTGCATGGTGGCGCAAGCCGCCTGCCTCTCCACGAACGTGAAGAGAAAACCAAAATTGAAAACCAAAACAAAAAAGAAAATCAAGAACCCTTGAGGGACAGGACCGCCTGTGCCCTCACCCCTGTCAAGTCGTGTGTGTCGGATGCTTCCGACATGTGTCCGCAAGCCGTGGACGTCGTGTGCAATGGCGTGCTGACGCCGCAGGCCCCCGCAATGGCCGAACCCTATCCAAAATGTCCGAGTGGCCGTGATGAAGCCAACCAAGACCAAGTGTCGCCCGTTCCCCCAAGTCAAGTCATGGTGCAGGAGGCTGTGCAGGAGGACCATGAAGAGTCCCTGCTGTACCTCCCTGCCACCGTCCAAGGTCACACCGTCCGAATGATGGTGGACTCTGGAGCAAGCTGCAACTTTGTCAGCAGACGCTTGCTCCAGGAGCTCAACATACATGCAACCAAGAAGAAGTCGCCGATGAGTGTGGCGCTTGCAGACGATCGTGTGCAGCAGTGCACACACCAAGTGGTCCTGCGAGTGGCCCTCCATCCCAAGTACCATCCTGTCCTGTTGTTCCAAGTGATCGACACCAAGTTCGATGCCATCCTCGGCATGAGCTGGCTTGCTCGTGCCGAGCCGACTCCAGTCGTCGACTGGAAAGGCCGCACTGTCCGTGTTGGCCCTGACATTGTCCTGCAGGGCATGGCCTCACCCAACATGCCACCTCTCCTCTCAGCCATGCAATTCAAGAGGCTGATCAAGAAGGACACGTCGTTCCTCTGTGTCGTGCGTGAGGTCGACGACACCGACCAAGCCGGTCCCGGTCCCCCGCCTGTGGTGACCAAGCTGCTCGACGAGTACAAGGACGTATTCCCCGACCAGTTGCCACAATGCCTGCCACCCCAACGCACCGTCGATCATCGCATCGACATCGAACCAGGCTCGTCGCCTCCGTCAAGACCGACGTACCAACTGTCGCTGACGGAGATGGACGAACTCAAGCGCCAGTTGGATGACCTCCTCGCCCATGGGTTCATCCGCCCGAGCCAGTCACCGTATGGTGCACCAGTGCTCTTTGTCAAGAAGAAAGAAGGTGATCTCAGGATGTGCGTCGACTATCGCGCACTAAACAAACAGACCATCAAGAACACCTACCCGTTGCCCAGGATCGACGAGTTGATGGATCGTCTGAGTGGAGCAAAGGTCTTTAGCAAGATAGACCTCCGCTCAGGCTACCATCAGATCCGCATCCACGAGGATGATGTCCACAAGACCGCCTTCAGGACTCGCTACGGACTGTACGAGTTCCTAGTGCTGCCGTTCGGATTGACGAACGCACCTGCCACGTTCATGCAGCTGATGAACGATGTGTTCCGCCAAGAGCTCGACAACTCTGTCATCGTGTACCTGGATGATATCCTTGTGTACAGCAAGGATGAAGCGACCCATGAAGGTCATGTCGCCCGCGTGCTGGCCAAGCTACGCGAGCACAAGTTGTATGCCAAACTGTCCAAGTGTGAGTTCTTCAAGAATCAAGTCCCGTTCCTGGGACACGTTGTCTCAGGAAGAGGAATCGAAGTCGACCCCGCCAAGGTCAAGTCTGTGGTCGAGTGGCCGCCGCTCGCATGCGTCTCTGACGTGCAGTCGTTTCTCGGTCTCGTCAACTACTACCGCCGATTCATCCCCGATCTGGCGCGCACTGCCGGTCCACTCACAGACCTACTCCGCAAAGAGTGCCCCTTCGTGTGGGACCACCCACAACGCCAAGCGTTCGAGACCCTCAAGCACGCCTTGACGAACGCTCCTGTCCTCGCTGTGTTCGACCCGAACACGGATGTCTCCGTGCACACCGACGCCTCCGACTTTGCGGTGGGAGCTGTTTTGATGCAGGAGGGAAGGCCCGTTGCCTTCGAGTCGCGCAAACTGTCCCAACACGAGATCAACTATCCCGTGCACGAGAAGGAGCAGCTTGCGATCATCTACGCGCTGCAGAAGTTCCGAGTGTACCTCCACGGTACCGCCAAGCCCTTCAAGATTGTGACGGACCACCAGTCACTGCGTTACCTCGACACCAAGAAGAACCTGAGCCGACGCCAAGCGCGATGGATGGAGTTCCTCGCCGAGTACAACTACGAGGTTGTATACCAGAAAGGCAAACTCAATGTGGTGCCTGACGCACTGTCCCGACGCCCCGACTACCAATTGGCGTCACTGTACGAGTCGACTGTCAGTGTCGACAACACGATGCTGGATGTTGTCCGAGACAACATCGCCAACGACAAACAGTTCGGAGAACTGTTCCGAAAGGTGTCTAAGCTCCCCAAGGACGACGAATCATCCGAGTACACAGTGCGTGATGGCCTGCTCCTCCTGAAGAAGGACAGCCGTGTCTGTGTGCCGGACATTCCGTCGTTGAAGACCAAGTTGCTCCAAGAGGTCCACGACTCGCCCCTCGCTGGACACTTTGGAGTCGAGAAGACATACGACCGACTGGCCAAAGTCGCATACTGGCCTGGAATGAAGCGCACCGTCGAGAAGTACATCGAGTCCTGCCATACCTGCAAGATGGTCAAGTCACGCACGACCCGAGAGCAAGGATTGCTGCAACCCCTGCCTGTTCCCGACCGCCCCTGGACCAGCATGTCCATGGATCTCATCACGCATCTACCGACGACCAAGTTGGACCACGATGCAATCGCTGTCTTTGTGATGATCATGCACGTTGGGAACACGTGTGGACTGCTGCGCGTGATGCACCGTGAGTCATGTTTGTTTGTCTTGGCGTGTATTCCCTGATTGGCTGGCGCCGATGACTCTTACTTCGCCTCCGACTGCGCTGTGCTTCGCCCCTCTCTCT